AATAACAAGTGAAATATCCACTAAAGCAAAGCTTAAGTATATAACACCAACAATAATCTCGTAATGACTCGCCTTCTTTCTGTTGTATGCCCATCAGTGTTAAGTACGACTTCTCTTGTGGCCTGACACTAGCAAATTGGTTGAGGAAACTCGAGCTGAACCCCTCAAAATCCTTGATAGCTCCTGCTGGTAACTGGTGGAACCAATCCTGAGCAGAACCTCGTAAAGTTGTCAGGAAAGCTCGATATTGCACTGGATCGTTGTAGCGATGGAGTACCGCCACATTCTCGAAACTCCTCATATGTCGAGATGGGTCGGTCGACCCGTCATAGCTTATGTTTAAATCACGAAAGCCTTGTGGTAGATCAGCGTCGAGGATATGTTGTGAACACGGATGTCCTCTCGAGCCACCGGTTTTTCTCCCCTCGACCCGGGCTTGCAAATCACGCACTTGGGCCAGCAATTGCTCCAGCGTTTCATCCCTCGCTTGCGGGTTAACAGTCCTGATAGAGGAAGCCTCCTCTTCTGCCCTCCTATTCTGCCTCTCGTTGGACTGGGCCTCTTGTTCGCGTTCGATGTGTGGCTGTTCGATCCTTAGTGGCTCGACCCTAGGTTGTTCGGGCTGAGCTTGCTTGAGCTGAGCTGCCACTGCTTCCGCTATCATCCTTTGCATCTCATCTCTCGTCATTGTTACTGTTTGCTCCTCGACCCGAGATTGGACGAGCGTTGTTCTGGCCCTTCCTGGATTTGCTTTCCCGCGCGTCGAGACATCTCCGTTGGCTCTCCTCCGCCCGTATTGGGATTTTGGCTTGCTCCTGCTGAGGTCAGCACTGGCACCTTCACTCCGGGCGGAGTAATAGGCGTTTCTCCACCCAGAATCACTCCCGGAGGTGGAGGTCCTCCAAACGGTGGCATCCCCAGTGCCTGCAACATCGGGGGTCTGAGGACAGAGAGAGAGGGCGGTCTCCTTTCTGTCCAGGTTCCCCTAAACTCCTCGTTTAAATTCCTCTGTAAACCTTCCTTATCAGCCATCGGCGACAGATCGAAGCTAGGTGCGAAGCTCTTAATTCCTTCAAGAACTCCCCACAGACGGCGCCAAAATGATGGGTCTCTTCCCAGATCTGGAGCGAACTGATGAGAATGGGCTCAGATCTGGAGCGAACCGGTGAGAATGAGCTCAGACCCGACTTGATGGCTTTCAAACTGCTGCCGAACCGCAAGAACACCTGCAAGAAACTCAACGCCGGAGGTGTTTCCGGCGTAGAGCCTCCGACGCTCAAGTTAGTATGTGAAGAAGATGAAGAAGTCTGCTCTTAGGGAGCAGCCGCAATAATAGAGGAGAGTATGGAATGAAAATGGGAGTTAGGGTTTAGGGCTACCTCTTCTCCTTTATATAGGAGGGAGAATTTACCTGAGATGCCTAAAATGCCCCAAGTCGGTGGTCCTGGAAAGTCCAAATTGCCCTGGTCGATTCATCTCCCCTCCTTGCTGAGTCATCCCCAGATTCCTTCTTATCCATAGGTGGACAAGGGGTTTTAATGAATACGCCGTGTATGAAGTCGACTGCATGTTTTATGTGTCGAGATATGGGACGTCGACCTCGAGTACCCCTTTAACCACTCATGTTCCTACTGTTCAGGGGTCGTCCCCATAGTTTCTTGATTATACGTTGACTTATAGGAAGGTCGACCGACTCAAGTCGACCTTTAGAAGTCGACCTATGTCGATTTCTCGAATATCCGATACTCTGCTTTACGACCGGGTCGACTTTTAACGAAGTCGACCCAAACACCTTCTCGTCCCGATTCGATGCGCAGGAGGAGCTGATAACCTTTAAACCGAGGAGAGAGAGCCTTTGGATCGGTATATCTTTATAGGTCTATATCAGTCGTCTATGCTAGGACGACATTCCTTTCTTGTCTTGCCATTAAGGGCAATCGCCTCCTTGATTGCTTATCTCGTTCTTATTTATGTGTGAGTCAGGTAGAGAATATCATTTCCTTCATCTAGGGTCTATCTAGTCGAGTAGTGTAATATTCGATATGCTGATCACCTCCCTTTTTTTGTGTTCATTTTTAGATTCTGAATCTAATTCCTCACCCGACACTATCGAGCGTTTGATCGAAGAAGGCCCTCAGTCATCCGAATTGGTACAAGTAGTTAGCTTTAGACTAAACAATGTGTCACCCAACTCCTCCTCTTCCCATGTCGTCGCTCCCCGTGTCGACTAGGACGAGTATGACCAGGCTCTATTGGCGGTGGTTTGGTGGACGCTCCAGAGGATCCTCCGCGAGGGGAATCTCCCCGTCTTGACCCATTCCCCGAGGTATTCCCTTTAGGTTCTTAGACATTCTTGTATATAGGACAAGTCCGTACCATTAATTGCTCTTCCTGATGACCCTCAGAATACTGTATCAATAGCCTGTCCATTAGCTAAAGTCGTTGTTCTATATCCTTTCTCTTATACCTCTGCAGCTGAAGTCGAAGGATTTAGGGCATTCAGTGGGCTCCCTTTGGATTGGGAGCTGAAGATTCCTCGTCTTGGTGACGATTTTGTTCATCCTCCTCTTGGATTTTTCACATTTTTTATAGATCAAATAATATTCGGTCTCCGCTTTCCTATTCAGCCCGAACTCATATCGATTAGCAATATGTACCATATACCATAAATCAATTTTCTCCCAACGCTATCCGCATTATGATTGCCTTTATAGTCGTCTCCCGAATAAAACTTTGCTACTTCTCGCTCGAGTTTTTTTTTTATTGCTACGGGTACAAACTCATAAAAGGTGCCCATGGCTTAGTTTGTCGCTCGGGCGTCACCTTTTTAGACGATCTTTCATCAAACGTCACCGAGTGGAAGTTGAAATTTGTCTTCATTCATCCGGTCGCCGAAGAGTATCCTTTCCCCAACATTTGGATTACTAAAAAGGTGGATCAAAATAAGCGGCCGAAGTCTAGCCAATTTGCCATGCTTTTAGAGGAACTTAATAAGTGTACGTACGGTGCTCGTCAGTTGTGTAGAGAGTCTTCTCTCCTCAACCATGCTCGTATTGTTATTGATGAGAATCTTCCTCGCCTCCAGGACCCTCGTAAGTCGCATGCATTTTAGATTTTTATGTCAAAGTATTCATAGGCCGATCTTTCTTTATTCCATTTCAATATTGCTTTGCTTACCTTGTCGTACTTTTGCAGTATCCGTTCTCAATCATTTCGCCCCCAAGAAAGGCGAGGTAAAATTAGGTCTTTCGG